ACTAGCCTACCTGCCTTCCGGTTTCCCTCCTTGGATGCTACTACTCATTCTTCCAATTATAGTTTCTTTTTTCAATTTAATTTATTTTTTAAAAATAACAGGCATTTATTTTCTCTCCCTCACATTTACCCCAAAAAAAGGAAGGGAGGGAAGGAAGAAGGAAGGAGGGAAGGAAGAAGGAAGGAAGGAAGGAAGGAAGGAAGGAAGGAAAGAAGGAAGGAAGGAACGAAAGAAGGAAGATATATATGTATACACATACACATACACATACACACATATACATACATATATATGTATAGTCAAAGCAAAGCAAATTCCCACATTGGCCACGTCCAAAAATTATGTCTCATTTTGTATCTTGAGTCCATCCCCACTCTATCAGGAGGTGGGAAGTATGTTTCCTCAGATATCCTCTGGAATCATGACTGATCATCGCATTGATCAGAGTTCTTAAGTCTTCCAAAGTTCCAACTATATAGTTTGTCCTCTCCTGGGTCCCCTGTGAAATGGGAACCCAAACTCCCAGTGTCTACCTTACCCTCCTATCCTTGAAGCAAGTACACAAGCACTTCTTAGATTTTCTAACAGATTTTCTACAAATAAACTAGCAAGAATAAAAAAAAAATAATAACAAGCAGAAAGTTGCAAAGATACACAAAATCTTAAAAGTCTTCCAATCAAAAATCATCCTTCATGTTCATTGGCTGGGAACTAGACTGTATCCTCTCTAGTTTCTACCTTCTATTTCTATCAGCACACCATAGTCTTCATCCTTATTGTTCATTCACAGAATTACATGATGTCAGAGCTGCAAGGGACCTCCCAGGACATCTTGTGCAACCCCTTGCCTAAGAAAAGATCATTTCTGTTATCCAGGTCTGCTGAAAGACCTCTGATAAGCTAGAACCCACTTGGACAGCTCTCATTATTGAGTTTCTCTGGATCACACCAAAATCTGCCCTTTGCTCTTAGGTCCATTCTCAGGAGCCAACAAAAGTCTAATCCTTTCACATGACCATCCTTCAAATACTTGAAGTCATTTTTCATGTGCTTGATAACTCTTCTCCTCTTAAAGCTAAACATCCCCAGTTCCTTCAGCTGATCTTGTAGCATGGGCCTATTCCAGCAACACTAATTTTCTTATATCCTTCCTAAAAAAAGGTGGTATGAAATACCCCAAATGTGGCCAGACTAGGACAGAGTGTATATAGCAGAACTGCCACCTCCTTCATTGTGAAAACCGTGCTTCTCTTAACATAGCCTAAGATAGCATGAGCTTGTTTGATTCCTGTGTTACACTGAGTTTGTAGTTCATTGAAACCCCAGACCTTTTTCACAGGAACAACTGTCCAACCATGACCCCTGCATCCTGTACTTGTGAAGTAGATTTTTTTTCATTTGTCTCTCTTAAATTTCAGTCAGACCATAATTCTAGAGCTTGTGGAGATCTTTTGGATATTGATTATTTATCATCCAATGTATTAGACATTGCTCCTAGTTTCATGTCATCAAACCCGACAAATCTGCTTCATCCAAATTGATAAGAAAATGTTGAACAACACAGGACCTAAGTAGATCCCTGGGGCATACCACTAGAGACTTTCCTCCATGTTGACATCAGTCTATTGTGATTTCTCTACAGGCCCAGTTATTCAACCAATCCCAGATTCACTAACTGTAAGCCATCCTTGGTTATTTCTTTAGACTCCCCTTAAGAATTCTCCAAGGATGGGAATTTCTCATAATCTTTCAATCTTCTAGTCTCATATAGTTTTCAGTAAGAAATCAGTATCTAGAAACAGCTAGGTGGTATAGTGGATAGAGTGCTAGGCCTGGACTCAGGAAGACCTGAGTTCAAATCTAGCTTTCAATGTAGCTATGTGACCTTGGGCAAGTCATTTAATCTCAGTTTGCCTCAGTTTCCTCAAATGTAAAATGTAGATAATAATAACACCCACCTCCCAGTGTTGTTGTGAGAATCAAATGACATAATATTTGTAAAGTGCTTAGCAAAGTGCCCAGCACATAGTAGGTGCTATATAAATGCTAGCTATCATCATCATCATCATTGTATAACCTAAATTCCTCCTGCTATCAGTTGTCAGAGCCACCATTAGGGGATATGAAAACTATCCTCCAGGTAATGTCCAACCCTTCAAATACTCAATAGGCCTCCCTCACTCAACCTGCTTCTAGGTTCATTTGCCACAGTTACTCTCCACTTCCTAGGAACCAGTTTCCCATCCTTCATTTTTGTTTGTTTGTTTTTTTAATTATTCTCCCCAGGATCTATCCCCTCCATCCTCTATGTTTCATCCCTCACTCAACCTCTCTACTTACATGGCGATCACCTAGGTCAGGCCCTCATCACTGCTCCCCTTTCCTATCCCAATTACCTCCTAGTTTGTTTGACTCCCAGCCCATAATTTCCCCCATCCCGATAATCCTCTACACAGCAGCCAAATGGATATTCCTCAAGTATGAGTCTGACTGTGTCACACTTCTGTTTGAGAAGTTTCAGCAGCTCCCCATTGCCATGAGGTTAAAAGAAAAACTCCATTTTGGAGGACATTGAAAACCTTTCACAATTTAACTTAACTCCTTTCCCAAGCTTATTAATATATTATATTTTATTATAT